TGAAGGTTAAAGTTTGCAGATAAAAGCTATTTTTAGCATATAGGTCACAAGGCCATTTCCCTGGGTGTCATTGGAAAGAACTGAATTAGTGGAGTATGCATACCAAATATGAGGCCTCTATCTTTTATGGTTCAAAAGTTTTCGCTAAGGTTAAAGTTTGCAGACAAACAGGACAAAAACAATATACATCCCAGATCTATCAATCCGGGTGCATATTAAAACTTAAAAAAATATATGAAATAAAACTCAAAAATTTTCCTATATCTATAAACAACCTGTGTATAAACTAATTTTTCAACATTCCAAAATAATTCTTCTTACCAAGTCTATAGACAGCCAAAAATAAAACCAAACCATACATGTATGCTAGTACATGTATATAAGCATGATCATAGAGCAATAAAATTTTTTTGCCTCTTTTTCTTCACCTGTATCAATGACTAACTTCAACAATGATTATTAATTTATATGTTTTAGTTTGTATGAAATTTAATGCTGTGATTTGAAAACAACCTTCTTTAATTTAGAGTTAGTCATGAAAAATCATTTTTTTTTTCCATATATAACGGTAATTACCGTATATTTGTTTACATGTTTAATTGTCTACAATCATAGCACAAAATAATTCTGAGACTAGGTCGATTCATTAATTATATAACCCTACTTTGTTTCTAAGACTTTAATTCGCATTATAGCAATATTAATATCAAAAACTAATCATGAAAACTTTACTGGCATTGTGTACAATATGAAAGTCCAAATATTTACTACATATTTTTAATGAAAAAAATAAATACATTTTAATGTTGTATAATTTATTACTACAACACTTAAAAACAGAATGACTAACAGAAAGGGGTACCATAAAATGGTAAATATGTCCACCCCTTTTTCTGATAGGGACATAAGAAGGGTTCAGCTTCTCATGTCAATGTTTCATTTGCACCATCAAACATTCCAAAAATGAAAGGTGAACTTGACATATCTGCCTTTTAAAGAAAATCATATCTCTTTTTAAAAGTGAAATTCTTTCATTCAATGATATTCATTCATTTCCCTCTGAAGAAAAATGGAAGAGATAAAGATGGTTCAAGTGAGTTGTTCAACATCAGTAGCTGTTGTTTCTTTTCTTGAAGAATGGTTCTGAAAATAAAGATGCCAGAATATCACAACTAAAACCACAAATGTTTGGGGTATAGTGGGTTTGCTTTTGTTTCATACATTATAAAATATACCTTTTATCCCATCTGTATTTTTATCCTTTTATCTTAGGGACAAACTATATTTTCCTAAATAATAAAACAATATACATCTTTTCTTAGATGTTGTAATTGAAGTATTACTGCTTAAATATATTTACTTACAAAAAATGAAGTACCTTTCCAAGCATTGTTGAAAGATAAAAGATGAAAAATATTAGCATTTGGATTTTTTACAAACAATTAAAAACCATTTAAGAAATCATAGGGCAATTATAATTCATGCATAAAAATGCATCAGAACTAGGAGGGGGCTTAGCCCCCTCCCCCATTTTCCTTTTTTTAAGAAAGATAAAACATAAACAAGACACCAATGGGCCACATCACTCACCTTTTACAATATTTAACTTAAACCATGCTATTCTTTACCAGATTTTCCCTTTGTAATACTTACTAACCCCACCATACCCCCAGGGGTCATAATTTGAAAATGTAAAATCTACACTACCCCAGAATGTTTCTGGGAAGAAAATCAACAAAACAATGTCTCCCCTTGGAAGCGGAGACATAAATGAAAATTTTTATGCACGTTATTATAACTAAAATATTAAAAAGGGCCTTAGACTTAGTTTTTCTTAATGTGAAAGTAAATTCCTTTATATATTACATCTGCACATAAACTTTAAACACGGTATTCACTGTCATCTAAGTTGTTCATGCATTAAGTTGCATCTACAAGCACATTTATTCCCAGATCTTTTTAACCTGAAGATATCTCTCTTTAACATTCTGTTACACTCTTTTGGATGTGTCATCATTGATCATTTGCTTACTGACAACAAACCAAGTTTCTGCCTGTTTTATGTTGTAATCACTTTTAAAATTTTCATAATTTTTACTAAATTTTTATACAAACAATATTATAACAGGGATTTTTTTTAATAAGTGAAAATTATACCCGTCTTGTGTACAACAGGCTCTTAAGATCTGTCCCTGAGAATTTTATAATTAACAAATCAATATAATTCTACACAGCTGATGGCATCAAAATTTTCTGTCAGTCTGTTACAAAAATTTTAACCTTGGTCATACAGCCTACTCCGGATATATTGAAATTCAGGGGATCGTGCAAATTTTTTCAATATATCTGTAATTCAAAATAAGCGAAATCATGAAGCTGTCATTTTATAAGTCCAAAGTTATCTAAAATAATAAAAGAACAAACCCAAACAACTTAATTTTGTCATTGATTATCTATAACAGTAAACAGATTACAATGAATGCGAGTCCTTGGAAGTTTAAATCTGTTACATTGAAAAGACAATCTTCAACCTCATCTTTATTCCCTGATCGCATTGAGTTACGTTTTGAGAAAAATCACCGAACTTTTGTAACTTTGACCCCATGACCTTGAATGCTGATGTTTGACCTTTTTTTTCAGAAATCTTATTTTTTTCCTTATAACTTTTGATTGAGAAGAGATCAGGCTTTCATATTTGATATGTGAGAAGATATTTCCATGCAAGCTATAAATTTTACCCTTGACCTTCATGACTAACCTAATTTTAAAGACCAGAAGTCTCTGTTGATACTGTAGCTCTACTGGTTTGTACTGAAACAAAGGAAGAGAGAAGCCATTGACATCAGACTAAAACTGTAGGAGTAGCATTTTAAAGAAATTTCACAGAAATTTCCATTTTTTGTAATCCTGACAACACCGCACATTAAAAACCGATGCACTAATTTATGTATCTCAGTGTGATCTACTTGTATGCCAAGTTATATTGAAATCAGACCAAAACTGTAGGAGGAGTAGTGTTTAGAAGGAATTTCATAGGAATTTCTATTTTAAGTTACCATGGCAACACTATTAATTGAAATCAAAACTGATGCACCAAATTATGTATCTTAGTGTAGTCTACTTGTGTGCCACATTCGTTATACTGAAATCAGACCAAAACTCTAGGATGGTAGCATTTTGAAAAATTGTTTACAGACAGACAGACGGATGGATGACCGACACCTTACTATCACACAAGCTCTTTTGATCTCTGACCAGTAGAGCTAAAAATCAAATTTGATTACCTTTGAATGAAAAATGATAGATAAATCATTTTAAACAATATGCTATAAATAACGACAGACACCAAAATCTGGGGACCACAATACTTTGAATTTGCTTGTTCTACTAAATATTTCATTGAAAAATATAATTTTAAAAAATATCATAGCAGTCTTATTTGTACATGTTTATAATTTTTATGACTAAAACACCATAAAATGCAAACTTCTTTGCAGTTTATTCACTTTATTTCAAAATAATTTTATCTATAGGTTATCACAGTGTTATCACAGGTCAAGTGTAAAATAAAAATTTTAAGATTTATTCCATAGGAAACCATAGTAATTTGAGGGTAGAAACGTTTGTCTTGTCAATTTCATGATTTATTCTCAATGAGTTGTGTTTCATTTTGTAATGCATTTTAAGACAAAGAAATTTAAACAATTCTGCATAATTCAGTGAAAAAATCCAAGGAAATAGAGCTAAAATTTACCTCAAAATAGGTTTTAATAAAAATTGGTTTTTGAAGAAAACATATAGAGTAAAATGCATTTATGACCATATACTGTACCTATTTCCTTTAAAAGAATTGATCATTATTATATTTTTGAAATTTCAACTACCAGTAACTTTCCTGGATTACTACATCTACATCTAAATTTCATTTTCAAAATTTCAATCATAAACAAAGCAAAGATACTTTGTAATTTATACAGAGGAAATAGAATCTGATTAAAGTTCTAATATTATTGCTTTCTTTATAATTATTATTTTAAGGTTACAAAACATGTATACTTTGTGTAGAAGATTTAATTCAGATTAGAAAGACATTCTGTAAACAATTAATGAAAATATTCTTTTGATCCATCAAGTGGCTCTCTCTCCTGTTATTTACCAACAAAAGCATGTGGACATTAATTTTTCTGCAAAATTTACAACTTTTCCCCCAAAAAGCTTACAATTTTCAAACATTTCAAGTAATGTAGTAAAGTATGTCGAAGGAGATAAAAATTTTGAAAAATTTCATTTCAAGAAAGGGAGACAAGTATAAACTGATATTTTTTTTTTTCATAGGATGAGGATAATGAAATATTAAATGCATTCAACAAGAAGAAAGTTTATTTACAGACAGATCTCAAATATGCAGAACACATTCTTCTAATACTTAAACATACATGATTGATTTTTGAAAAAAAATCATAAAATTTTCCTTTTTAATGTACACCTTCATATCTTGCAAATAATTCCTCTTAAAATACCACAATTTAGAAATGTAAACCAATGCATTCATTAACACTTATGTGGACATATTACCTTAAATTTGTAGATGTTTTCCTATCTTCAGTACATGTAGAGTTTACAGCATGGAAGTCTGGTCACTGAAAGTGGATGTGAATTTTAATCTGGATCTTGGTGTAGATTCTAAATACAATAGACACACAAATATTAGCAACATATATTATACTCATCACACAATGTCAGCACTATGATCTTTTTTACAAAGATTAATTCACTTCTTCTGAACTACTGATTTATTATTTATACAAATTAATATGTCATCCCAACAATGTCACATGATCTGTCAACTATTGAAAAGGTACCAAAATTTTATTTAACATATATAGAAAAAGAACTTATTTTGAGGTCCAATGACATTAAATAAAGATTATTTCTGATAATAGATTGACTAAATCTATTTTTCATTAAAATTCCTGTTCAAAAATAAAGTGAACCCAAAATTAGTCTGAACTTTTATTTTCATGAGTTCTCACATGAATTTCAATAGCTTCATGATAACTGATAAATAATGATTTTTTGTGCACACAGGCTTTCAGAGAATCAGTGACATAAACATGATCTAATGTTGTTCCAGCTTCTGTTGTGTAAAACTGCACCAATTGCATAAATCCCATTGATTCTAAGAATGTTTGAATGGGTCCTTGCACTTTTGCATCTTCATTCATGTCACCAATAATCATCAATTTGCTAAAACGCTTCTTGTAAAAATCCATCACATTTTCCAATGTGTCAAGAAAATTGTTTACAGGCAGTATACTTGGTCGGTAGAGTACAATGATCGCAATATCCTCCTCATGTATTTCTACACTTAATCCTTCTATGTTCTTGTCTTCCAAAGGATTGATCAAGATTGTCTCATTTCTTTTCTTTTTGTACACTCCAACCCCACCACCTTTAGCTGCTTTTAGTCTTGTCATCACATTTTCACTATCATCATAACACTGGTTCCGTGGAATGTGGTGAAAGTCAAACCCTGAAATTTCAATATCTTGGATGTTCTCATGTTCTCTCAGCCAGGTTTCTGTTAAACATATAAAATCTGCTCTCGTCAACCTGTTGTTACAAGTCATCTCCTGAAAGTGTCCTCTCAAACTTTGTACATTAAACAAAAGAATTGTCTTGTAATTTCCAAACTTTGTTAAATTGCATGTCCATTCTACATCTAAATTGAATCTCTCCATTTTATTAAGTGCTAACTTCACATCTAAATCAGCATAAATTTTTTTCTGCAGGACACGTTCATCATTTGTTTCAATGAATAGACCATCTTTTGAAGTAACTCGGCTGATGGCTACGTATGCTTGACCTGGAGAGAAAGTCCGATCTAAATTCACAACAACACTCTTGGTGGTCATGCCTTGAACTTTATGTGCTGTGCACGCCCATGACAATTTCAGTGGAAATTGATGCCTGACAACACACTTTATATTTTTCTCATTCATCTCTTCCTCCACTCTTTTAATTGGGACAATATTCCCTTTTGGTGTTTTCTTCCCTTGTACTTTACCAATACTTGAACTATCAAAAATGACTTCAACTACCTCTACATGCTGTTCCCTTTTAAATACAAAATTTGAAATATATCCCATTGCACCATTCACTAGTCCATCCTCAACACTTACATTTCGTGTAAGCATTACTCTTGCATTCACGGCCAAAAGTAATGAAGCAGAGAGGCCATCAGCTCGGGTACTAACCAAAGGTTTGTCTCGCAATGTTAATTTCCCTGTTGTCTTGTCTTTCTGGTAATCTTCAGCATCCACTTCTATTAATTCTTCACCAATCCCATGCAACATTTTAAGATTGTATTCATTTGCCTCTTGGTTTGTAGAATAAACATGAAGAACATCATCTGGTCCTTCTCTACTGCATTCCCGCAGTGTTTCCAATGCTTCATCTGATAATGGTTCTTCACATGTTCGAATACGCAATGAATTCAAAACAGTTGCAAATGCTTTATCTTCTCGTTGTCGCATTATTTCGTCCAATTCTACAATTTTAAAAAGATCTAACCAGTAGTCAGTTGGATATGAACCATTTTCTTTATACAGCCTCTCGTCTTTTCGTTGTTTAACAGGTGGAAGTTGATAAAAATCTCCAACTGCTATCACAGACACGCCACCAAATGGTTCTTTACATTTTTTTATCTGGACAAGTCGTTCATGAATGTAATACAAAAGTCTTTTGTACACCATGGAAACCTCATCAATGACCAGAATCTGCAAATGTTCTAATCTGGTTCTTATCCCACTCAAACTTTGTTCCTTCAGGGGTTGATATGGAATTGGTAAGGCTTTTGTTAAAGAAAACACATGATGAATGGTATTACCTCCAATATTGAATGCTGCTGTTCCTGTGAAAGCTGTGAGAATCACCGATAGTGCATTTGGAGATGGCAGTCTTTTTTCAAAGAGACGAGATGCTTCATAGTGTATTGTCTTAATCAGATGGCTTTTTCCTGTCCCTGCTCCTCCAGTTATGAAAATGTGCATAGGTTTTACGTTCTCTCCAGACATTTTCTTTACACACCACTCATGAACAGCATAAAAAATCAGCCTCTGTTTGTCATTCAAACTGCACAGTAAAGGAAGCATCTCTTTTCTAGTGCTTTGAGTTTCCCTTAAATGATATACAGCATCTTCAGAACCACTACTCTCAATTTCATGTGTGACCTCTGATTCTGTATTCTCCTGATCATTCCTTAATTTTTCATTCAAACATTCTCTTCGATTTAATTCTGTTTCTGGACATAAACTTGCCCATGCGTCCTCTGGTTCACCAAGCATTTCTAATGCATCCTGGGCATTTTCAATATCATCTTCATTTTTTGAGAAGAGAGCATGATTACTATCCACTATGCTTTTTACTTTTTCTAAGTTCGTGTTTGGTTTCACTCTCACATGACCATTCTCATAAAATGTCTGGTACAAATCAAATCCAGCTGGTTTCAACTGATTCAGATTCCAGTATGGGAGGAAAAGTTGTAGGAGGCACTGATAAAATTTTTCTGGTGCATTTTCTCGATTGAATCTTGGATATCGTATAACAGCAGGTTTGCCTCTACTTCTCTTTTGAATGTAACCCTTTCCATTTCTCAATTCATACACACCATCTTTTTTGCCCTTAGGAATCTGAGACTTACTAAGCACTCTGTACTCTGAACAGAATTCAGCAAGACACATTTTATGGAAAAGATTTAACTCAGGACGGTTTTCATACCTTTCCACAATGTTTGTCATCCACATACTATTTTCCTCTTCATCATCACTGTCATCTGTAATCAAATCATTTTCACCCATCTCAACTTTCCGATTCTTTTTTATTTGTGCAAGAGGCTTACTCAAACGAGTTGGATTTTCCCCCACAGGTATGAAAATGACTTTTCTTGAACTTTCTTTCATCTTAAGATTGCACACCCTGTATACTGCTTCCTGTGCACTAACCTCTCTGTGATTAAGATAAGCTGATCCTACCCTCTTGATGGTATCATGTGCACTCAAATTTCCCTCTGCTGCTTCTACTTGAGTTTGCTTTAATAGCATTCCCATTTCCCTTTCAGATTTTGAAATATATGATATAATATAGACAATGCAGCTGAAGGGGTCCAATACATACTGTATATCCATATTGGCATCCCAGCTCTTGAGCAGGCATGGATTGTACTGATTTGTCCACATTTCTGTTGGATTTCGTTTCAAAACAGTGGTTGTTTTTGAGCTCAGTACTCTGTGTGCTTTTTCATACAAATCCTGTGATAGGTTAATATTGCTGAATATTTCCTCTGTTGTTTTACATGCATTAGTATCATCCACTACCTCATTCCACACCTTCAACAAAATCTCCTTTGCCTGCACACTACCTAATTCATTGCTTGAATCATCCACATTTTGTTCTAATTGTCTTGAAATGAATGTGCATTCTGAAGGCGGTCTAGGAAAACTGAACCTACATTCTGTTCCTTTCTTTCTACATGATTTTGAGTGTCCTTTGCTGTGCTGTTGTACGTCCAATACAATTTGTCTAAGTTCTTGGTCAGTGTCCTCTGACGGTAGAGCATAGGAGTGAAACGGTTCACCGCGGTATCGGTTCACCGCGGTATTTTTTCTCGGTTCGATACACGGTACAAAATCTCTACTTTCGGTTCGGTTCGTTTTTCGGTCGGGATCGTCATTCAGTCGGGTTTGGCATCAGGTATAAACATGCTTTTCTGTATAATATAGTTCAGAAACGTAAGTTTGTGTGGACTTGAAGTTTGTAAAATAATTTTTAACAGTCAAATCATTAAAATTGATACATTCTATCCATTTTGCACATAAATTATTTTAGTAGATTAAGTAAAAGGTAGCATAAGACAACATTGAATCTGTTTCCTTCTATCAAAATGTATCGTATCGAAAATAACCGAACCGAGACCAAATTTTTCGATACGTATCGAACCGTGAAGGAGGCGTATCGTTTCACCCCTAGTAGAGCACATGTGATATGCCTATCAACGAAGTTACAAATAGTCTCCTCACTGTCTTCATCTAATTTTGGAGCATTCTCAACCCAATATAAGCAGTGCATATGCGGAGAACCCCTCTGCTGAAACTCAACTCTTACAAAGTAATCTACAATAGTTCCGATGGGTTTTGCTGGTGACATTATTACATTGTTCTGAAATATATGGAACCTATGTTCAAACATTCTGGCAACAGTTACAGAATTTCACTTTTTTCAGACCAATCTAGATCAGAGGGATTTCTATTGTCATTCATATGTAGCATAATAGAACCCAATATTTCATTCCACCTGAATTCTGCTGCAGAAAAAGAACAAAACCATGTGGGGATTCCAAGTTGTCGAAGCATAGCAAACAGATCTTTTTGCGTACTTGACCAATATGCAGGTGTTCCTCTAATTGGTTGCATAAATCGCAGAGCCTCATCACTCTTAAGCAGTTTTGCAAGCACAACAGGATTCTGTAACATTTCTGTCGTGACTGGTATCCCTCCATCAAGTTTCGATACAGATTTGCGAATTGAAATTTGTGTTTTCTCAATAACCTGGTTCAATTCAGATAGGTACTGACAAAAGAAAATGTAATTGGTATCCTTTGCAAATCTGTTATCTGCATTCATGAGTCTGTTATTAAAATATCGAGAAAGGGTAATCCTTACATCTCGACTTTCATTCCATGAATATTTTCCAGTTGGAAATAAATGAGGAAAAGTTTTTGCTTCATTGCCCTCCTCTTGCAACATTCTTACTGGATTCTGTCCTTCACCTGGAGCAAGATTATAAACATCATCAAAGTAGTGATCAAGAACTTCTTGCGCAATATCTACAGGTTGTAAACAAGTGTCTGTGGCAACTTCTTGAATTACACTGTTCTGTTCTTCAATTATTTCTTCACTGTCAATTGCTTCTGGCTGGCTGAATAAGGTACTTTGGTCATTTTCCTTTTCCCATGTTGTGTTGATTTCAACATCATGATACCACTGATTGTTTTCTTTTAGGTAGTTGAGAGCAATTTTTATGTGATTTGGGTTTACAAACTGATATTCATAATATCCCTTATATGACAACTTTCGTTTGAGTTTAACTCGTAACAAGAGATTTTCATTTTCATTCAGAGGTAAACTGCTTGTTTTCTTTATGTTTGATGGCACACATACGACAGGTCCATGTATATTTTGCTGACCACCTTTTGGAAGCATGGTTACTTTCATGAAAGGTATATGCAGAGCAATTAGATGCTGCTCTAAAGTATTCAGGTCATTGAGCTCTGGTGGAATATCTTCCAAACACATTTTGTTGAAAGTGGCTTCAGCCGGAACATTTCCACTTAGAATTTTTCTATGGCAAGTAAAACAAATCCATGTTCTTGCTTTGGGACAATTAGCAGAACAACCAGATGCACAAGTATGAACATATTTCTTATCAATGCATAAATTTGCAACATGATCTGCCTTTATATTTCTCTCATACATTTCAAGTGTACATCCCTGTACCTGGTTTTGAAATAAAAGGCGATGGCAGCAGCAACATACATATTCTGGTCCATGTCTAACACAATTCTTAAATGATTTCACAACTTCATCAATATTTTCAAGCATTTCATGTAGCAGTTGTCTTTGTTTTTGTACAGATTCCTTTTTCTGTATCTTTGTTTCTTCACTGGAATGATATCTAACTCTACTGGCATTTTTCACTTTCTCTTGATGCTGTTTGTTTGTTTTATACTTTTGTCTGCTCTTTTGTTTGACTTCCTCTTTGTGGGTCTGGTTTGTTTCATACTTCTGTCTATTCCTTTGTTTGACTTTCTCTTTGTGGGGCTGGTTTGTGTTATACATCTGTCTGCCTCTTTTTTTGAGTTCCTCTTTGTAGGTCTGGTTTGTTTTATACTTCTGCCTGCCTCTTTTTTTGAGTTCCTCTTTGTAGGTCTGGTTTGTTTTATACTTCTGTATGCCTCTTTTTTTGAGTTCCTCTTTGTAGGTTTGGTTTGTTTTATACTTCTGTCTGCCTCTTTGTTTGAGTTCCTCTTTGAAGGTCTGGTTTGTTTTATACTTCTGTCTGCTTCTCTGTTTGACCTCTTCTCTGTGTGACTGATTTGTTGCATACTTTTGTTTACTTCTTTGCTTGACATCCTCTTTGTGTAGCTTGTTTGTTTCATACTTTTGTTTACTTCTCTGTTTGACATCCTCTTTGTGTAGCTTGTTTGTTTCATACTTTTGTTTACTGCTTTCCCTCACTTTTTCTTTCAGTTGCTGATTTGTTTTATATCTTTTAACACTGAGTTGTTTTAAATTTTCACGATAGTTATTATCATTTCTGTATCTTTTTTTAACATCTGCAATGCATTTTTTTTTGTATTTTGGGTCGGTTCTGTACTTCATGTTTTTCCTGAACAATTTTTTTCCTTCAGCACTTACACCTGACATTTGAAGTTTGCATCTTTCATTTTGTAATGAAATAGATTCTTGTCGTTGCGTCTTCCGATTTCTCTCTGTACCAATTTTCCTTCCATTTTCTTTCAAACATGATGGATTTTGTAGTGAAGTCACTGTAACATTTTCTGGATATCTAATCGATGTAACAACATTATAATGATTCTGATTTTTATGATCTAAATAAATGCCCCCGAGTGAGGTCATGATTTCCTCTGAATTCACCATCTGTCCAGAATAAGTAACCCATCTGTTCTGTGAGTATGTATGAATTTCAGTTTTCAGTAAATGGGATAGCCCTAAAATTTCTACTTCAGTTGCCCATTTTCCATCCATGAGCATGCCTGACAAGGAAATGTGGTTTTCTACAGAATTTACACCTGACCTTAAGAATGGTGTGAAAAGTAAACCATTTTCCAAGAGGTGATTGCATATTGCTAAACGTATTGTCTGATGGTAGTCTTGCTTTCCTGTCAAACAGAATGATATTGCTCGAAAGAAACAATTTCCATCTGGCTCAACTGTTACACTGTCCACTGGAACTGTAATTTCTTGTCCATACTGATGTTGATTTTCACACTCATTAACAGAAGATGGTATTCCTAAGATTTCACAGTGTGTTTTCTTTTGATCACTAGAAAGTGGTAAAAATCTTATCTGATGGTTCTCACTCCCAACAAATTCTACCTCATCATCATTTTGTACACTAGAACTATTACATTGAAAGTTGGCAAAATTGTTCAATTCTTTCTCTACATCGCTGAATTGTGATTCTTTATCAATGCATTCTTCCTTTCCCAATGAAAGCTGTCTAGCTGAGCATTGCACTCCAGTTATTTCACACTCAATTGCTTTAGTATAACCCATTGACTTCGCTAAAGACAAAATATGACTGGATAAATCTTGAACGGATTCGTACAATACTCGTGTACTTCTGCCATTTACACTCTGAAATCCTGCAGAAGATCTCGAATGGGAATCAAATGTGAAAAAATTATGCTGAGATTTCCCAATCAAAAATGTATTTCCGCCGAAACATACAAAACATCCGTCACTGTCATCAAGGGCTATTTGAAGTGCCTCTAACAATTCATGAGCATTGAACTCAGCATAATCCAGTACTACATTTCCTAAGTTTATCAGACTTGGTAAGGACTCGTTTGCTTTAAACTCATAAAGTCTACCAAAGCATTCAAAAAACTGAGGCAACTCACTTACTAAAAGGTATCTGCTTGCAATTGTAGAACTGCACTGTAGATATGAATACAACTCATCTCCTGTTGCCAATATTTTGTTCATATCTGCTGATTGCCATTGTTCACAATTCTTCAGTTGATGATATGCCAGTGCTGTTAAAGAGTTAGCTACACACTGAGTTCCAGCATTTTCACCAAACATTGGATCTCCCTGATGAAATGAACCTTGAACAGACAAATTCTGATTTCTTGAACATTTACCTTCACTTGCTCTAACATCTTTTCTATATTCCTGGACAGATTTTTTAGATTCTCTATCACATTTCTCATATTTCTGATTTCTTTTCAAATTTCTCTGATATCTTTTCAAATTTCTCTGATTCCTCTATTATTTTCTTAGTTTCCTCTATATTTCCTTTGTTTTCCTCTATATTTCCTGTATTTGTCTCTATATTTCCTGTATTTGCCTCTATATTTCCTTTGTTTTCCTCTCTGTGCCTTACATCTTTTTTTAAAGCCCTGCTGACCTCTTCCCCCTTGGGAGGTATCAGCTGCGCCTGACCTGCTGAACCAGACATCATCCAAATGTCCGATTCAGGTACTCTCGGTGGAGTACAAACCCACGCTGGGGAGTCAGGGGATGCTACCTTGTCCTTTGGGACAATCAGACGACTTCCCCGAGGAGGTGACAACCTCGGGGCTGAGTGCATTTTCTCACTAGGAGAGGCCTGCACCCTGGCCAAGGGTTTTAGCGAAGTAGGTGGCAACCCTATAGAGCCACACTCTGAACCAGGAGCAGCTGCATCCACTGTCAGTGTTTCTTCTAATGGAGGATCAGGGCAGGACTGAAGTCTCTTTTGCCTCTTCCTCATAGCATCCCTCTTGCGCTCTTTACTGCCAGTGAGTGACTTTCTCTTAGGCAACTATCAAAAAATTAACTCATTAACTAACAAGTGATGTTCGTAAAACATTTATGCCCCCCTCCCCCCAAATTGGATTTTTTCCAAGTCCAAGGGGCATAACTCTCTCAACAAGAGGCCCACGGGCCTTATAGGTCACCTGAGTATTGTGTAACAACTTTCAAACTAGAACTGTCCAAAATACCCCCCGCTGGGTTTTTCAGAAGCAAGTTATTCCATAATAAAGATATGTATCAAACACGAATTATGAAATTTTTTCTTCCAGTGACCTTGAACTTCCCCAAATGACCTTGGGTCAAGGTCATGACACACCCTTGGGTCATGGGCAATCTCTGTGTGACATGAGAACCTACCAACTTTATCCATAAGAAAGATATGGACCGGACACAAATTATGAAATTTTTCTTCCAGTGACCTTGAAGTTCCCCAAATGACCTTGGGTCAAGGTCATGACACACCCTTGGGTCATGGGCAATCTCTATGTGAAATGAGTTTATCAATAAGAAAGATATGGACCGGACACAAATTATGAAATTTTTCTTCCAGTGACCTGGAAGTTCCCCAAATGACCTTGGGTCAAGGTCATGACACACCCTTGG